CTACAATCGTTGACAAAAACCTTGGACCATTCCAGCGAATTTCCTCATTTTAAGCAACACCCGCAGACAATTTCATTCCCCCTGACCCCCTAAATGCAATGTTGTCATTGATCATGTTACCATAGCACACAAGCATCCAAAACAAGACCCAACATTGATGAAAGGGGGCTAAGGGGGAAAACTGTCAAAAAATAAAGGAGAAAAATGTTAGGCTGAAGGCAAATAATTGTACGGTCCAAGGTATTTTGGCAACGATTGTAGTTTCCTGGCAAATTCAAAGATTACCTTCATGCCAGGAAGAGGCTAATGGTTATTCTAAAAAATAATGAATTTTCATTTTTCATTTTTCTTTTAATAATTAAGTGGAACATGGGAAAGTCTTTCAAAGATTACAGAGAGTCTAGTTGGAGAGGTTAGTAATCTGATTATATGTAATCCAATAATTATTTTTGCTATATGTAATTTTAAGTTGAAAGAAAAGGGAAAAGATATTTATATATTTATGTTGAATGTTTATATTGCAGCCTTTAATTAGCTACTATAAGCATGGCCACATGACTGACACATCTACACTAAACAGGTATATATTGAAAATGAAATGAAATATCATTAACAAATCTAAAAGAATATTATGATTCAGTAAACTTTGATTTCTTGTCATATTATCAGTGATGATGCAGACAAACCATTTGTCATGTTTGGAATGAATACAAGCAAGGAATCTCTTCATAAAGCAAAGAAAGGCAWACTAAGTACTAGGAACACTACATTGAGTATGACTGGCTCAACACACATGGTTGGTTTTGGGCTACTAATTGCTTTCTTTATTGTTTTTATTTGTTTATTCATTTTTTCATTCAGTCATTTATTCATTTATTGATTTTCTCATCCCATGAATTTATTCATTTGTTCATTCGTTCATTTATTTATCCCATGCATTCATTCATCCCTTCTAATTAAAGATCTGCTGTGCACAAGATCCTAAGGGTACTATATCATGTATCAGAACATATTTCTTTGGTAATGGGTTTCTATCATGTACAGGTTAGTTGMACGTAATATATTTAATTTAAACAATACAACTGTTCACAAAAGTTCAATATATAAGTATTTCTTTTTTTCAGATGGAACTAATGCAGGTTCACCTAAAGCCAGTCATCAAAGTAAAGATCTAAGGCTATTAATTGATTTGTACTTGTTGACAATTGATGCATTATTGGATGGTATCAAACATTTTGTACTGACTCAAGATATAACTGAGGTATTTTACCTGCACATTTCAGGGGCAGTGGGGGAGATAGAGGGTGCACATATGCATGCATCTCTAAGGATAAATGACACTTTTTTAATTAATAATACTTATTTGTATTTTAAATGTTTTTGGCTTCCTGTGGTAATGAAAATGCCTCAATTTCTTGTCCATTATGCCATTAATTGATGGTGCGGCCACCAGAGAAAATTCAATTTCCAACAATAGCTTACTGGTAACCGCATTTATTGTTATGTCACAGGCAAAGAATGAGGTTAATGCTTTTATTAAAGATACTCTCAGCAAGAAGGACATTTCTTTTAATGCACAAAATATCAGGTTTTCAATTGAAGCTCATGATTTTCTTGGAAGGTAAGATGAAATGGAACGGAACTAAGGCTACTGATTATGGGCAATTCCCTGTAATTTTGATTCTGTTTGAATTAATGTTTTGTAACTTGTTTTTCGTTCCTTGTTTTTCACAGAAAAGTTAGCTTGGAGAGCAATAAATATGTGCCATCTTTAAAAATGGTAAGGAATGCATTAAAATATATTTTACATCATCTAAAATGCGTTATTTATTGTGCTAGGCAAGTCTTTTCATCTATGATATTCCAAGTGTAGAGAAACCTGGCACWGTCATTGGTTCTGTAGCATTTGGTGAAACATTTCTTGATTCTGTTGTAAGAATCCTTGATCAAGGTAAGATAGAGTGTTAATATTACTATATTTCTTTATACAGTGACCAGTAATTTATAACCAGTGAATCGTAATATATAAGAGAGTCTGGAAATGAAAGTAATGAGTTATTGCATGATGATGGATTTAGGTATATTATGTTTGCAATAATCACTATTAATGATTTGTAATATGATTAAACAGCATTGTGTACATTGATATTATTAATGTCATGTTGCAGACAAAGAAACTACATTAAACTCTCAATACGTCATCATAACAGAAAGCATTTCTAGATTTATTTCATGGAAGGTAGGCTCAATCAACCATTGCTGTTGTGGCTGCATTACGCTGCATAACAATCCTCTTCTATTGCTGTAAATTACATTAATATTTCCATTCATGTAATTTAAAATAGTATAATCTTTGCTAATGACTGGAGTTGTAGAAATTGATAGTTTCTCGTCCTGACTTTTCAACTWGTCATTTCTTGGTTTCAGGGAGGAAATGGGGAAAGATCACTGACAGGACAACTTGAGGACTTTGTGAAGGTGTGAATAGCTGACTTATATAATTATTTACAAATTCACATTTCATGATAAAGATGGTGTCTACAATTCCTCGTGGTTGTTTATGTCTGTCTATAGTCTGTCTAGCAAATCCAATTAAAAATTTGAGCTTTTTTAAATAGAATTTGTGTATACACTCTTTTTTTCTAACAGAGTGCTATGGAACAAGATTATAATTGACTTTGCATTTATGAATTATAGTCAAACCAAGAAAGTAGTGTATTAGGAAATCAGCTTGTACATGGAGATGTTTGTATCTTTACTGGTCATTCATTGTATACTACGCATAATGAAGGTATTGCTGGATGTCTGCTTGTGATGATTTATAATTTTTGTAAACTGAACATGACAATTCTAATGTTGATCACACAAGTATACTTCAAGTAATTGGTAGGATTTCCTATCTTTTGTACAATAAGTGATTATCACTTTGATAGCAGGCAAGCATGGCCACAATACTTTACCTGGTATTGGTGCCTTAGAAAGCATTGAATCAAGAAAAGATCATGACTACACTGTCATAGCTTGTGTAATACACAAATAAGTACTCATTGAAGTAGTTTTTGAACACTTGACGTATTAAAATGTGCTCTCTTATTAGTTAATCACAAACTTCAGACTTTAAAGTGCACATGACACCATTAGAAATTCATTCTCATCCAAAAGAAAAAATGCTGCTAAGTACTTCTGTGAAGAAACAAATTGATTTTAAATTGTATTTTCTAAGTTATGGGTAATTGAAACTTAGAAATGCAAATTAAGTGACGTCTACTAAGGAATGATTTTAAATATACAAAATCATGAAAGAGGACGTTATTCTTTTTGTTACACTGGAAAAAGCATTTTCAGCTCTCAATTATTACTATGGTTAATGACTTGAGCTCTTCAACCAAGAACAGCATAGCGCAAACAATGTAAAAAGTCTGGACCAATTCCTTAGTTGACGTCACTTCATTTGCATTTTCAATTTTCAAATGTCTATAACTCAGAATATACTATTCAAAATCAATTTCTTCCTTTACAGAAATGCTTGTCAGCATGCTACCTTTCGGATAAAAGTGTTTTTCTAAAAGGTGCCATGTGCACTTTAAAAGACAGCATCAATTATTGTCCTCTGTTTAAGATTATTGAAAACTGTGTTGATGCAAGTTAACCAAGCATTTCTATTTTTTCCTCTTGTAGGTACCCTTTACATCTATGAAAAAGGATTAATCTTTGTTAATCCAAGATTTGGATCAGTAGTCCTCCCACTTCATGCTTTATCTAAGATGCAGTTCTATGATAAGGAATCCATAGCTGCATTGATTGTACTGCAATACCATCCATCAATGGCTTGCCACTTGCCTCCRCATCTCCTCAACAATAATAATGAGATGATAGTGGCTCTGTTACCAAGAACAAAGATTTTTAGGTTGTTTTATAGTGATGTACTTCATCTATGGAAGTCCGAGGACAACAAGCCAATATTAGAACTTATATCAGGTATTTTAGAAATGTGTTTGGGTTTAAAATCTTTGTTTGTATTACTTATTGTAATAAAATTAATTCATTATTTTTATGTCATTTCTTTACTTACAGAATTACCAGAACATTTGTTAAAAGTGTAAGTACATATAATTGAATTTCTATATGTGCTTTGTCCCATTCTATGTATTACATGAAGTGTAAATTAAATCTTTTTTCATCTTGTAGATACTCCTATGTCMAGGAAAATAATGCAGTGCCACAACCAGATACCATACAGAACTCCATGAAGCCCCTTGCTCAGCTTAAGAGGTGAGACTACTATAGAGTACCGTAGGTTTTATAGCTAGATCAATATTACTTGGTTTTGTTTGTGTAAAAACTCTAATTTTTCAATGTTGCAGGATGATTTATGTACYGGTACACTACAGAGTGATATTTTAGTATCAGACCAAACTGCTTGTGATCAACCTCCTTGTATGATCTCTTGTTGTTGCCCAAATTGATTGTCYAACGTATGTGTGGTATTTTCATTGTAGTTTCCTTCCTCATGCTAACCTGAGTAGTGCAAGCAGCAATGTACCTATACATTCACATGATATTAGTACTCTTCTTGGAGAAACCAGAACCATGAAGGAGCATTCACCAGTCAACAATAACCTAGAGGTTGATAATGATTGTTAATGCTTGAAATACTGGATAACAGTTTTATTATAATAATATACTTTATATTTTGAACCATCCTACATTTTTGAAACAAAAATAATGACTTCATTTCATTTTTTCTTTTTTTATTCTTCACTTAATCAATTGTTGGAGAATAACAAGCATGTCTCTCTTTTTTGTTAGTTTGCTTTTCAGTAATTTGTCCTTCATATTCAATGATGTGGTAAAATCTGTTGTTTTGTCTTGTAGCTACTTCTAACGATATTAACTGGAGCCCCTGGTAGTGGAAAAGAACAATTATGTAATACATTGCTGGCATTGGCTAAAGAAAACAGCAAGTATGTACAGCATTAATGTCAAGGCTTTATTCTGCTTTATTRAGATTCTACTTTCTTTTGTTTTATAAAACCAAACTATTGTGCTTTCCAGATGGATTGTTCTGAAGAATCCATTGAATACCACACAGCCATTTGATTCAAAAGGTAATCTACCTGCAAGGACATTGGTCAATATACCATCATTGGAATAACACAAATTGTTAGAATAAAATTGTATATCAATGAATGCAAATGATAGTTATTATCTTGCTGTTGTTATGGCTGGCAGTTGATRGTATTGTTTTAATTGTTGTTGCTGTTGTTACCACAATAGAATTAAGAGTGGCCGTCTGTAAAAATCGACCAAAGTGATGCAAAATGAAAAAAATCAAAACTGCTCATACTTTGCCTAAACAATGCCCTTGATGAACTAATACTACTGCAAAAAGAATTAGGTTCAAGCGATTTTTATTTTCTGAGATAAATACGATTTTGTTTCTCGCCGTCGTCGGCCATGATTTTAGACAGTTTCAATGGCTCATACAAAAGGACTCGCCAAAAATTAAATTTAGTACATATTGACAAACCGATACCACAGCATGAAAAAGCAATAAATTGCCTACAATTCCATGGTAATTTTTTTGCTTAAGCGTACATATTAAATATTTTACAGATTTTTCAAATCTGACTACTTTTTCGCCCGTAAAAATATGCTTTACTTTGACGGACAAAATCTCCATCTGCCACATCGATTTTGATTTTGAGACTGTTATCAGTGTAAAGTGCTAGAACCGGGCTTTCCAAAACACTAAAAATATTCTGGGGAAAGTCAACGGAAGTATTGAATATCGCCTTGGAAAGATGTGGTTCAAAGGTCAAAATGGCCGCTGTTCAGTCTTCCGTAAATTCAACTACTTTCAACTTTGAAAAATCTCCGAGCATTTTCAATCCTATTTAACTATTAAATCGCTACGTATATTGTTTAGTACATAATATACAATCAAATTCGTGGAATATAGAATGTCCTTGAAACAAAGAAGTTGTTTTTAATTGAGGATTTGTCACTTACTTTTGGCATTGCGAAGATGTCTTTGTAAACAGGAAACAGTCACGCACTTTGCGGTAATCTTCGCATATTCTTTAGCTTGAATAAATCTTTAAGAGGCTAAAGGTACCAATTTTCTGGTTGATAGTCGAGATATGACTGCATTTTTGCTACTTTTATGTTTCATTTTCATAAAAACATTCAACCAGACCTAGACTGGATTTCGTTACGCGTTACGCACAGGGTGACCATTTGTATGTCATTTGATACATTTGATGCCCCCGTTTATCATTTATTTGTCAGTTTTGGCTCGCGTGTGTTTACAATGAGCGCGTTATGTCTTCTTCGTGTGGATTTAAATCACTAGTTAGTGGTACATGTGGTGCCAGTAAATACTCCAAAGGTACTGGAAAAACTGTTGCTTTATCGAGCTGTAACAAGGATATTGAGGGGCACCTTAAAGGACTAAACACATTCCGAATCGATTCCGTCAAAAGTGAAGCGATACTTATTCTTTCACGCGCTGGTAAGAATTATGAATTATATATCGATCAATATGTTATATTTTATGTATATTTTATTACTTTAAAGTATTATCTCGCGGTGTTACAGATAATTATCAAGAAACCTTATGTTCATAGGTATTTTCGAAGTAGATGACTCGCATTTAAAATTAAAGATATGCCCTCGTCACAGAGATGAGTTAGGGATAAGATGGAAAACGAATAGAAGGTACTGTGCCTGTCCTACAGAATGGGCTCCTCACAAAACTACTGCCAGGAAGAAAGAAAGAGGAATTAGCTTAGAACATTCGCGCATCTTATATGACGAGACTGGAATTGTCCTTCCAGTTGGCTCGCGTAAGTATAATCTAAGTACTTTATGCTTCGTTTAATTATGTTATTCTTTATATTTCTATTTTCTTTTTATAGCTATATGCAAAAGATGCCGAAGTTTGCTTGAAGAGAAATCTAGTGCTCGACAAGCACAACCGAAAATATGCGTATCCTCTCCTGATGATAATTCATCCGACCATGAAGTGTCATTCGACAAAACATCGGAGCCTTCAACATCATACCATGTGAGTATACAGTCTATACATTTATCGGTCTGCCTTAGTACAACACAAAAATCTCACATCAATCATGGCAAGCACTAGATACAATATGAATTTATAACGAAAAGAGCTTAAAAAATTACTTTTGTAACAGTTGTGTTAAAAAATGTAAATTGTAAATTATCACACTAGTTTAACCGCTAGTTACCCATCTTTACTTTTGTAACAAGTTGTTTTCTGTAGGACACTTCAACTGAAACTTTGCTGTGCGAAAAATTCGAAAACCTCAAATTATTGCCATCACCTAATCAAAGCTTATACGAGCCAGATGCTGGAAGCAGTAGCGAAAACTCCGGGTCAACGGAAAGCGGCAATGGCCTTGGTGATTTAAGCAAGCGTCGAAATACCCTTAACAAGTTTCTAGCTGCATCAGGAGTTGAGACTGTCACCCAATCCAAAAAGAAATTCAGTAACTCGACTCAGCGTACTCAAAATGTACATGTATTCAAGGCAAGTGAGTCTATAGTTGCACTTCTAGATGTTATTGCACCTGAAGATTGTGGAGCGCTTTGGGACGCAGTAAAAAGATCCAGACTGGTCGAAAAACAACTGTCTCTAGAAAAAGATGATATGACGGAGGATATGTATTTGAAGGCATTGGCAGTAACATATCATCACGCAACTGGATGGGATACTCGTCGACAGGTTCTATCAATTATGGCAGATTTAACAACATTCTCAAAGCTCCAGTTGTATATTCCCGNGAAACTCCTTGTAAGAATGCCATCAGGTAGAAAACAAGTGAGGGTGATTCTTGTTACTTCTGGGTGAGTCAACCTTCATCYATTACCWCTAAATAATGCTGTTTTCCTTGTGATTGACATCTTGGGTATTGTGTAGTTTTACAGACATTGTAGAGGTTGTACAAGCCATCTACAGTCACCCAAGACCTGAGATCAAGAACCATATCAAGATTGGTGCTGTCACTTGCTGTATTGATCCTGAAAGTATCTTTATTGAAGAAAGGTACAATATTATTGTTTATTTTATGCAGTTTAGTACCCAGGCATACCTCCCACATAATATATACATGGAGAGCATGTCCAGCTGTAGTTTATCAGTATTTGTGATATTAAAATCCAGTCCAATCCAAATCTTTTTTTAATTCAGGTTCACACTGCCAAAAATACTCGAACAATGTGCTCAAGGTTTGTGTAAAAACAATGATTTCATTTCATTTGTCTGACCGTCCTTTAAAGGTTCTATTTATTTGACCTGTCTTTTTTCAATTCATATATAATAATATCCATTCAGTTAGCAAATAATCCATTCATCAGTGGTGGATCCATCTTGTGGATGAAAGAGGGTGCACACCAATTTCTAACACCTAATGTACCCTTTAGTAATCTCTCCTTATTTTGTGCCTCTATGGTGACCATTTTTGTGTAGTGCATCCATTTCTCTCCATGGAGAAATCATACCTCTGCATTCATACATCAATCATTCTTCCATCTATTGATTCATTCAGTTATTCACATTAAGTTTTTTTCTTTTCAGGTTGGGTGAATAATGTTGTCTTCACAAGTTGTCTAGACCCTCAGGTAGTTTCATACTCTTCTCCATATTAACTCTCTATTTCTAATAAGGTTTGTTTTAATACAATCAGAATGAACAACTAGCAATGGTTCAGAAGTTGGTCAGAKCATGCAATCCAGATGCTGCCTTCATACTTGCAAAGGCTGGAGAAGTCACAAGGTAGGAAACTCTTCACACACAAAAACATGTTAACATAAACCACACAATTATGTTACTTTATTGTTTGTTAATTATTTTGTGTTAATCAATCCTAAGGTCATCGGATGTTGAACTGGTATTGGCAGACAATACTTTTACCAGTGAGAAAAATATGCAGAAGAAACATCTCATGTGTCCAGGATGGTAAGTGATTTGTCCAAAGCATGCACTACCCTTCACCTGTATGGTCACTCTAAGTCATGGGGGAGGGGTTAGGAAATTAGTAAGGGTGGGATTAAACGTCCCCATAGGTTCCCAGTCCCTCCTTTAAARTCTCTAAGCAGGTCAAGTTAACATTGACGTTTAAAATCAGAGCTTTACAATGACATGAATTATAGTATTTTATTTCCTTGTTGTAGGTCACTTGGRCTTTTTAACCCTGGACCATGTGAACCTCCAGTTCATGAGGTAGGATTAGTACTATTACATTGAAATTGTTATTACCATTGTCATGTATTACCTTGCTCTTATTGTCTTGAACTATCTTATTCTTTACAGATTTGTATTAATTTGTTTGGTCCATTGGACAAGAACCTGTTTGTATCAAGATTAAAAGGTTTGAAATTAACTGGTTACTTTCAATGATAGATAACCCTATAATAATTTATCATCATTTTGTAAACAGCTTTGAAAGGATCACTAAATCTCAAAGACTGTCTGTCAACTAGTGAGTATTGTCAATTTAAAGAGTGTTTGTAACTTGATCAGATAAACTAATGGTAACATTTTTATATCATACTAGGCACTATCTGCAATGTTAGAGGTCATGTTCACTTTGTTGGTATGTATGTATGTATTATAAATTATAGCATTATTTTATTAAATTTACTGTATACTTGTTTGTCCAGTGGTTAAGATGAGTCACCTTTGATAGTTCTCTATTAGCAAACTTACAATAAACAGTCCCAAATGGTCGTTTTGATGACCAACCTCAATAAACAGATGATCATTTCCTTTCCAGATCATAACACCATAACTGAGGTACACTGGACGAGACTGAATGGAAAGMTTACAATGACAACAGTAGATGTTGCTGGTATACCAAGACCACCCCCCAAAGCAACTCAGAATGGTAGCATAGATGAACACATCTCATCTTACTTCATTGTATTCACTGGATTCTCCTTACAACAAGATGTCTTGAAGGATTGGCTGAGATCTTGCTGCAAACCAGTATGTTAGAATTTTGATTTCAGTAAAAAAGTAATGCGAGAGAATTAAAGAAAATAATGGAAAAGTAGGAAGTCTGAATGCAAATAAAGGAAAATGTGCAAGTGAAAAAAATGAGGCATATGAAAATGTTAGGTAATCAGAACAATAATTTTTTACTAATAATTTCTATTTTACTCAATAGAAGCCAGAAAAGAAATTGCTAAAAACTTTGAAAGACTTGACCAAGAAAGACCTGGCACAAATCAGTGTATGTATTTCTTTTCACTGCTAAATACATCTTTTTGAAGCTAATATTTTCCTTCTCTACAGGCCAAGCACAAGTGTGACCCTCTACCAGAGGGATGGTTCTACAATGGGATAACATATGTCAATCTGACAGGGGAGAAATCTCTTCACCATCCTTGTATCCTTTAAAAGATCATGTACATTTATCCCTTGCATATATCACATCGATGTAGCCTATGTTGTTATCCAATGCATATAGGCCTTTTCTGAGATAGGAGTTTGCATTGCATTTTGGTCTAGATTAGGTAAAAACATCTTTTTGTTCATGCTGCCAAATATGGTGTTGTTTGTACTGAAGCAAGACCACAATGCATCATGATTTTGTATTTCACAAAAGGCCTATTACCAAGAACTACAAGGTTAATATGAATTTGTAACATTTTGAGCAAAGAATTAGTTATGATTGATTATCATTATAAGCCTTAATTTGAAATTTTCAGTAATGGACAATTTCATCAAAGAACATTTGACTGGACTCAATGAAGAGATTACAAAATACAATTCCAGTATATCTAGTACACCTGATGTTGACATTTTCCAGCATCAATAGTATCTGCACTTATATTGGACTTGTTTTTCAAACCCTTATTCTTAAATTGTGTGAGAAAAAAGTTTGAAAGGATTTGAATGCTGTACGTTCATAGACAATTGCTATTATTAGAGTCTGAAAATGGGCATAACTTTTCTAACTTTGACTTGAAAACATTATTAGTAAAGAATCATAACCACCCGCCGTACCTTGCGAACCGAAGCGCCATTTTAGGTGGACATGAAAATGGCAGATTTGTAGGATTTCTTAAAGGTCTTCCGTCCTTTCAGTTTGGACAGAAATACCTTTAACTAAGTACCTCACAGGTACTATCAATCTATAATTTATTGTATGCTTGACGCATTTAAACGTATGTAAACAATAATATGAGCGCACAAGGTACGGCGGGTGGTTATGATTCTTTAAAGATGTTGAGAATTACAGTCCTGTATTGAACAATATTTGTGTGAGTTGAGGTATTACCTGTACTTTTGGTATTTGCCTCAAAGGGATCAATATGAATTTTATATAATTTTTGGAAATTCATCCTAAAGAGATTGTACAGTGTTGATAACTTATTTGTATAACTTATTATGGGCAGAGTTATTGCCACATTTGACAATAAAACAAAAAATAAACTGATTTGTCTAAATTTCACTTCAAGACCCTTCAAAATAAAGCCCCAATTTCTCTCACTCTTCACTTTAATCATCAGGCTTTGACCAACACGGCCCAGAGCAAAAACAATGTCACTGCCACATGATTGTGTTGCACTTAACATCATTTCTAGCAATTCATGTTTACCAATGTGTCATCACCATTATAACTAAGGGTTCCATGACAGTGCAGAGATATGTGGCATTGCATAGCCTTGCTAATCATCCATTAATTTGTGTTTTCAATAATTTTGAAATAGCACACCTGATAATGTAAAAGCTGTTTATTCCATGTTCAAATATCAATAATTACAAAGTATAGAACTGTTTCCACTGTTCAAATAATTCACAATTCCATAAATAYACTGGTAGAAATCACTCTAGAACAGGGGCTCTGAAAATACACAATAAACAAATTGAATAAACAAGACTTCAAGGTAATGACCTTACTGCAGCTAATTTGAGTTGTCTTACACAGTTTTTGTACACAGTAGATTCTGATTACATTGAGAAGGAGACAGAAGAGCTTTCATTCTTTTAAAATCGCTTCAATCTCTACATGGACATCTTCCCTCTCTCAACTACACTTTAATACTTCACTACAATGAGTTAGCTGTTATTGTGCTCAGTTGCTTGAGGACACCAGATATATACCAGATAAAACTCCCCCAATTATTGACAAGTTATTGGGACAATTCACAGCAAAACCAGGAGCTGTATAAATACTGTGACTACTATGTACCTTTAGCAGCAATTGCATCCTTCATTGCTTTAAGTTCAGCCTGTTCCTTAGCACGCAAAGCTTCTACTTCTCTATCRTGGGCTGCTATAGGCTTGAGATACTCTAAAACAACAAAGTGTCAATCACTTTATAAGTAAATAGGCTATTAATATTCGTACTATACTACACAATAAACAGCTGTAATTTACCATTTCTTCTATATCCATATGCAATTCCTATGAACAGAGCCGCATATCTCGAGAACTGTAAAGAGAAAAGAAACAAATGAAGTTAACTTTTGATATAARSMRCAMMWYT